AAGGGGGGCCTGACGATATGTACCCAGAACCACCCGTGACAATGTTTTAGCCCCATCAGGCATTGGGATCTCAACCCAGAATTCCAATGGGCAGCGGAGACTGCGGGAACTGTGGGATAGCTATCCACAGTGCAACGCTCCGGAAGTCGACTCTAGCCTTGGTACTGTGGAAGCACTCTGCCGAGTTAATGCACTTAATGCACTTAGAGCATTTTCTGTGGGGACACTCACACTCGAATATATAAAACCGATTTCTAAAAAAACCGACTTCTATAAATTCGACCTTATTCCGTAGTGTAGACATACACTTAGGCCCAGATTTTTAAAGATATTTAAGGCATTGCTGCATTACCATCGCAATGCCTAACTGATCTAGGAGACTAAATCTCATTTTAAAAAAGGACTTAGATACTTAGGAGCCTAAATCCCATAAATTGTCAATAAGATTTAGACTCCCAAGTGCCTAAAGCCCTTTTGAAAATAAGATTTAGGATCCTAAATATATTAGGCATTGTGATGCAGCACACAGCAACATCTAAATATATTTAAAATCTCAGCTTTAGGGCCAGATTCACAAAGGGACTTAGATTTAGTTGCCTACGTGCTAGTTTTAGGCACCATTGTGATCCACAAAATCCCTGATCAGCTGTACCTAACCTAAATTGACCCTGTGCCTATATTTTTGCTGTAAAAGTTCCGTAGGCACCTATTGTTCTGGGCAATGAACACTATGCCTCACTCTAGGTATCCAAATAGTTTCCAGTACAATCTTCAAATCAGGTGAAGGAAAGTGTTGCCCCACCTATCTTGCCTGTTGGCCCAAACTAGCGGGCATTATCCTGTCTTAGAAGTTTTTAAGGTCAGGCTTGACAAAGCCCTGGCTGGGATGATTTCGCTGGGGATTGGTCCTGCTTTGAGCAGGGGGTTGGACTAGATGACCTCCTGAGGTCCCCACCAACCCTGATATTCTCTGATTCTCCAAGCCGATCTATCTCCACACACAACAGCCAAGGGGCGGGGTGGAGAGGGGGAGAGGGAGAGCCGTAGGTGCAGCATCAGCATCCCTGATAACTTTTAGCCCACTGGTTACAGCACTCACCCAGGAAATGGGAAACACCATTCAATTCCTCCCTTTGCCTGAAAAGGAGAAGGGTTTTGAATGGGGACAGGGAGTGCCCTAACCACTGGGCAACAAGGCCATTCTCACTCTAACTCTGTCCCAATTAATATGTAATTAAAGTGGAACGGCTTCAATAGCAGAGAATGAAAGAGACCCTCATTAGAATATTCCATAGTCTAGTTGGAAGCACTCCAAGAGGTGAAAATAAGCCGGTCCAGTCCGGTACTGTGTACTGGTAAGAAAGTGCTGACTGTACCGCAGTGCATGGCTGCTGATGGGGGGAGGGAGGGGCAAAAGGGGCAGCTGCCACAGGGCCCAGCGATTTAAAAGGGCCCTGGGCTCCTGGCCCTGCTGCTGCTACCATGCCTGCTGCCAGACCCTCGGGCCATTTAAATCACCGCCGAAGCCCCTGGCAGCACGGGCCAGGCAGTGCTGAAGGGCTGGCTGGGGGATTTTGGCCCCACCCCAGCCCCTTCCACCCAAGGCCCCGCCCCTTCCAGGGGCCCAGAGCTGCCCACCACCCCCTCTTTTCCAGGATCCCAGCCACCCTGCATCTTGGTAAGTCATTTAAGTTACTTTCACCCCTGAAGCACTCCTCTGAGAGGTTGGAAACCCCTGTTCAAATCCCTTCTCAGCATCAGGAAGAGGGAGTGAACTGAACAGGTGTCTCCCACATCCTGTGTTAGTAGACTAACCACTGGGCTAAAAGTTATAAGGAAGGTCGCTGCTGGCACCTCCTCCCTTCCCAATACTCATTTTGTGTGGAGTTAGGCAGACACCTAAGCTGTTCTTGCAAGAAACGGCTTAGGTACCTAAGACATCTGACTCCAGGAAAGGGATCTGTGCATCACTAGAAGAGATAGGTGCCTCCCTGCCACCTAGATTTAAGTGCCTAACCTGTGAGAGGTCAGGGTTTAGAGGCAGGTCTGATCAGCAACTGCTTTTGGTTAGTTTAGGCATCTCCTTGCTTAGGGTGCTGGCCTCTATTCTTAGGTACCTATCTCTCCCCATGTAATGCACATAGACTGTAGGTGCCTAACTCAAGCTTTGTGGATTCCAGTGATTTTCAAGGTGTTGCAACACTTCGGTCTCTTTGTGGACTGAGGCCATAACATCTCTGTTGCGAAGTTGTCTCATCAGTGAAATGGGGTTAACATGTACCTTTGTACAGTGTCTGAGACAAGAAATTGCATTTTAAAGATCTTGGGATGTAAAGTGATATATGCTTACAAATGTTATTTTTTAATTTGAGTTCAAGGCATTTAAGGACAAAACAAAAGACTTAGAAAAGTTGTGTCAACAATGAGGGAAAGCCACTTCAAACAGAAATTTGAGAATGAGTTTGAAAAGGATCTGTAACGGGGTTCCACTCACCACGCTGGCACTGCCTACTGGCCGTCTTGGGGACTAGCTCTGCAGGTTAGTACACCTTATCCCGATGGTGTCTTGCCCACTGTCACTTCTGCTCCTGGACCCACGTCACTTCAAAGACCACGGCATCCTCTTCATGACACAGCCCTTCAGCCACATCATGATCTGTTTTCTCCCCTTTCGGGAGCGAGTGCTGCAGTCCAACTGTCCCACCACTTCCCCACTGGTGACTGAAGCCAGTTGTCCTACCAATTCCCTGTGGCCTCAGCATCCTCTTCGCCCTGGCCTCAGGGCATCAGCCTACAAATCCAAGCAGCCAGCCAGGAGCTTTCTCTAGCTCCCTCCTCCCTGCTAGCAGCACTGCTCTGTCCAGGGTGCTAGCTTCTTTCTGCCTGCCAGTCCTCCCTCCTTAAACTGCATGGAGTAACTGACTCTGCTCTGCCCTGCAGCTCTTCTTATATGAACCTGCCAGGGCCAGTTTACCTGCTCCTCTCAGCCCCTCTCTAATTGGCTACCTCCTGTGTAGCATCCCTAGGACTCTATTAACCCCTTCGAGACCAGTGTGGGGCCAATGCCCCATCACAGACCCATGTGCAAAACTCTGTACAATTGACATCTAAAACCTGTTTGTATGCGCAATCATGGGAATTTGCACAGGAAATCATATTATGTATCTGTGCAAATATAGATAGGAAATTGCACATGCAATTGAGCACTAAAAATTTAATCCTAAAAAGGTAACATTAAAAGAAGCTTTTTATATTAGTCATACAATGAAATGAGCAAAAATGTTTAATTGCTCAAATGAATCATTCAGATTGTTAAAACACCCACTCTGCAATACAAAACCAATGTACGGAGACTTATGGAGATGATGCGCAATTTTGCAAAATTATTTCTCAATTTCACATCACTTGGCACTGAAAAGCTAGATATACCATAAACTTAGTTAAAACACTGGTCACCAATCCACATGTTTAAAAATATGAATTAATTGAACTAGATGCAGTATAAGCAGATGCATCTTCTGCAGGATTCGGGGCATGCCTTAATCAGAAAGGGCCATCATGTGTGTTTTCATAGATGTTACACACACACACACACAAACACACAAACACACACACACAAATGCTGAGGAAGAAAAGAAGGTTCAGGCAATTGATTGGTTAAGTTCCATTATCTATAAATGAAAGAAACAAAAAGCTGTCTCCCTGTTCAAATAATACCCGGCTTTTATATCTGTAGATCCCGAAGTACTTCACCATCTCTAATGTATTTAACCTAACACCACCAAGGTGAGAGTGGAGTATTAGTACTCTCACTTTATATATGTGGAGCACAGAGAAGCTTGCTCAAGGTCATAACATAGAAAGTTTTGTAGTGGGGTAAGAACTTGAACCTAGGTTCTCCCAACTCCTCTTCTAGTACCCTAACCACTGGGCCATTCTTGGTTACAAAGCTCGTGAAAACTGGAGTGATATAGATTTGATCACCACCTAGCCTCCACCTTAGGATATCAAAGCTGTTAAGATATAAGGTCTGATTTTTTACTGACTTGTACTTTGTGCAGTCATTTACTCCTGTGCAAAAAGAGTGCAAAATGGCAATAAAATGTTACCCAATCAGAATGGCATCATTCTAAACCAGTGGTTCTCAAACTTTAACAACCTGAGGACCTCCATTTTGATTTACAATTTTCCACAGACCCCCAAACCCACTGCTCAGCCCCAGACCCTGCCCCTACTTCACTGCTTCCCCCTGCCCCACCTCTGCTCCACCCACCCTCCTCTTCTCTGCCTCTTCCACCCCCCCCGAGCACACCCCATCCCCGCTCCTCCCCCTCCCTTTCAGCACCTCATGCACGCTCCTGAACAGCTGTTCCCTGGTGTGCAGGAGGTGCTGGGAGGGAGGGGGAGGAGTTGAGAAAGGGAGAGGGAGGAGTAGATCAGCTGGGCCTGCGGACCCCCTAGAGTTCCCTCACGGACGCAACCCCAGTTTGAGAAACGCTGTTCTAAACTAATCTGATTTGGTAACAATGTACACCTATTTTTCCTCAGTGTAAATGACTACACAAGGTGCAAGGCAATGAAGAATCAGGCCCTTTATCTTCACAATCAACTAAGGACCACAATAACCATTAGAAGGGCTATAAACAGCTCAACAAAATCCACCAGTGAGATTCATGAATTTAACATGTTGTTATACAACAAAGAATATGTTGATCAGTCCAACTAAACTAGCAGGAAGAAAAGGAGGACTTGTGGCACCTTAGAGACTAACAAATTTATTTGAGCACAAGCTTTCATGAGCTACAGCTCACTTCATTGGCTGCATCGGATGAAGTGAGCTGTAGCTCACAAAAGCTTATGCTCAAATAAATTGGTTAGTCTCTAAGGTGCCACAAGTCCTCCTTTTCTTTTTGCGGATACAGACTAACACAGCTGCTAAACTAGCAGGGTTTCAATAAGAAAAACAGACACACCATTTTGAATAAATTGAAAATGATAGTTTAATGAGGTGTCAGAGAGAGAGAGAGTGTACAGAGTTTTATCCCTCAACTTGAGATCATCCTGGTCAGTTGGGAAAGAGATGAAGGCACTAAGTAGGTAACATTTTCCCAATGTTAAAAAATGGGATACTTATTAATAAACTTCCAGCCACCATCTAGGTGCTGAGCAATGTAAGAAAAAGGATAGGAGAATGTATTCTGTGTTGTAATGAGTGGAAAGATAGCAGCCATGATTAGTCACTTAGTCACGTGGATTCAGAAGAGTCCCCCACATAACAGAGCTGAGGAAGGGTCATGAAATACCCAACAGGAGGCCACGAAAAAGCTAGGAAGGGATTTTTGAATGTAATGCCATTAATTTAGTTGTTTATACTAGGGTACTGCTGCCAAAGTATCCTGGCACTCAGCTAATTTAAAAAAAATCCAAATCCAAATCGCCCAAATGGAGGCCCAATGAAAAATGGCAGCAGCCACACCAGGTTCTCGCACTGGAAGAGCCACGTGACCATCCCATTGAATTTGCACAAGGAGTTTCAACCCCATCAGAGTCAAGTGCCACAACTAAATTTCTAAGTAAGCTCGCTACACACCTGTATATAGAAGGATGGCAAAGTTAGCAATGGAATAGAGAGGTTTGTTCTCACTAACATACAGAATCTATATCCATGCCTTCATTTCCTCTCACCTGAACTATTGCAATTCACTTATGTATGGCCTCCCCAAATCCTAGACTTCTAGACACCAGCATTTGTTCACCTCTGCTTCCTGACTTCACACACATACAGAGAAACATGGCAACATCTTCCCCCTTCTCAAACAACTCCACTGGCTCTGCATTCACCTCAGAAGCCATTTCAAGATGCTGTTCCATGGTCTTGATTCACCGAAGCAACACTCCTCTACTTTTCTGCTGATGTAGCTCCACTGATTTCAGTTAGCTAATTTCAGCAGAGCTATGCTGGTGTCAAAATGGAATGAATCATTCCATTCATTATTGGTGGATCATTATTAAACCTCTCCAGGGACCTCCCGTCCCTCGTTACTTTCCTCCCTGCTCCCTCCTTTCACCCAAATCTGCAATTTTCTTGTCTCTTCATATAGTTTCCCCTCTGTTGACAAAAGTCTTCTCCTCTTTCACTCCCTGTGCTTCCTTGTTACTCTCTTACTACTTGATCCTGCTCCCAATGAAGCCAATGGAATAACTTCCATCACTTTTAATGATGTGAGATCAAGCTCATCAGCTCTCCATCTTTCTTTACATTTTACTTGAAATACAATCTTTTCTCCCCCATTTATGCCTCCTAATTTCTTCCTCCTTCCCTCCTCTGAATTGTTTTATGATCTCATCCATTCACCATAAAAAGTCTCTACACTATTGCTGATACCTGTCATTTATATGATATAGTGAAATATATTATTTAATTTTGTAAAGAGTTTTGGGATATAGCTTAATAAAAAGCACTCTACACAATAAACATATCATATTGTAATTTGAATCGATTACTTTACTGTATTTATATGTTTGAATACCTTCTTCCCTAATAATAAAAGTCATTTATGTCACAGACACCTAGTTATTGCTCTCTTGCCTCTTCTAAGAAGTTGTGTAATTGAGCACCTGTGTGTGGGGACAGTGGGAATTGGGGGTTCTTGATTAATTTTCTCCAGTTATAAATTATTTATTACCTTGTTCCATTTCCCTGTTACCTTCATAGGGACCCTTTCAAACTGTCAGAAAAACCTATTTATTTTTAATTGATTAGTATTCTGCATTCATTGAGATTTCCAAAATGACCAAGAGAAGCAGTAGTACCAAGATTAGCCATATCAATCTACAATATGATGAGTGACATAAAATATGTCACTGACAGTGGACTGCAGTACTTAAGTGTGGGATTTCAAGTATTTGCTAAGACATAGCAGAGCTTGAGAAAAATCACGTCAGCTTCACCAAATGATGAGGTAGCTGAGAGTTCAGTGAATATCATACAATCTCTATGAAAGACGTTTAAACAGCATGACGTAGCGTATAGAGTGCTGGACTTGCTATGTTACCAACTGGACATGTGACCGTCAGCAAGTCACTTTACTTTTCTGTGCCTCAGTTTCTTTATCTGTAAAATGGGAATAGTGATACTAGTCTTCTTTTGTAAAGCACTTTTACATCTATGGATGAAAGGCATTATATAAAAGTTAAGTATTATTGTGAATATTATAATAAAGAACTCTGCTTAATCCAACTGAATCTTGGGAATTTGCCAATCGAGACTTAACATTTCTATCACAAGTACTAATGGGACATCAGTCAAAAACAAGCCCAGCAACTCAGACCTAAGCTTTGTAATCTGGACTTACAAATAAAATTTGAACAACAACAGAAGAAACAAAGCTATTACGATGGCTAAGAAAACCGTTGTCCAGACTAATAGTTGTACTTGAAAATAGCAGGAAGCCAACTATAGCTGTTACCTCACCATAGTGAGACAGCCACCACACACTATGCAAATTGAAGATCAAAGGTATGATGCCAGAGAAGTGAGAGAAATAATGACAACTTACATTTATGGGAGCCAATGGAATTCTTACAAAGACAACATCTAAGTCCAAAACCTTACAGAAGACTCGAATTAACCATTCTTTTAAGAGTAGCGTTAGTCAATACCATATGCGGAAAACAGGATCATATGTAGACAATTCAAACTATGTGACTAGTTAAGTGACTCTAACAAATATGATAGGGAAACATAAAAGAAATCATAGCAATCTTCAACAATGTTTAAAGTACATTCAGGGTGACATTTTTAAAAGCATCTAACAGGCTTGGGTCCACAAGTCCCACTGAAGGTCAACATAATACACAGAGGGGACTGGAGGTGAAAGAAAAATGCACTACCATATTTATGCTCTTTCTACACACATGTGCCCTGATTCCTGAAGAAATGGTTTCATAAGAGAAGCTTTTAAAAACAGTGCACATTGAAATTGCAGCTATGTCTGCCTGTGGAAAAAAATATTAGTTTAGCCCAGAAGTGCACATTTTAACCCAAAGTGCACATTATCATGCAGAATGTGTGCAAGTCCTTATTCACAGGAATACAAAGTAATGCAGTTCCATTAGGCTTTCAGTGGGTGAAAACCTAAAATGATATAGCGTAAGAGACTGCTATATCTGCATCTCCTGTCACAGTCTTCTCTTTGTGTTGCTCCTGCAGCTTTGACCAGGCTACTTCACACATGTGTAAAAAGTGATCAACAATAAGATGTTTTAACTGCTTTTTTTATACATAGTCAAAAGAAATCAATAAAAATCCACATCTTGCATCTGTGAATAATGGATGTGCATATTCCAAACAGCTAACTACAATTAGAGCTCTCCATTGAATATTAAACTACGTACATTCCCATACAGTGATACATTAATGTCACTTGTTAATAATATCAATAGCTGACAATGCGTCTGCCTTTCACTGAATTCTAAAAGCAGTGCACTTGTGTGACTGGTCTAGCAAGCGGATCATAAATCACTCTTATCTTGATTGTATAGTTCGTAATTTGTTAAGTGGAAATGATGCCTCTTATTTTCATGTTGCTGGCCCTTAGCACCTCAGAAAGAGTTATTTAGTAAAATATCCTTTTTGTATTAGGAACACCCAGTACATGAATTTGTGTGGATTTGCAATAGACATGCCAAGATGAGAGTTGTTCATCCCACAGCGTTTCTCTTTCTCTCTCTTTTTAAAGTAATACATCCACTTAGGAGAGGACTTTTTTTAGAGAGGGAAAGCTCTTAATGCCAAAAGTATTCATACCTTCAAACATAGTGACCCTAAACAATAAGATCTTCATAGAGGAATCCCACTTACACTTTGAAGTGCATTTATGGGGAGAATAGGAAGCTTCATTCACTTATATACAATCCATGGGAGAATAGAATTTTCCTTTCCTAGCCAATTATACTCCATAGTATTTTAACTGAGCCATCAGTTAAAGAGCCATTGCATTTTTATAAAGTCCTTATCATAAACTAGTAGTGCTTAAGGCATGCTCAAATTATTAGGCTTTTCTCACACAAAGAATTAGCACAATGCCCCTCTGGGACTGTTTAGAAATTCCTTATTTGCTCTACAAACATTAAAACACTGGCAGAGCATGAGAGCAACAAATTAGTATTATTTAACAGCATTCAAAATCAGCCCAATTTTTATAAATGATTTTTGTAAGGTTATTATAGTCCAACACAATTAAGGTTAGAGAATAAACAGATATGAAGTGCTCAAAATTAAAGCAACAGCTACCACCTTTGAGAATATTAGTGTATTACCCCAGGGTTTAACCTCCTTTGACTGGCTTTGCAAAAGCAACTAGCTCAGTGCTAACAAGAGCCGTGATCTGTATTTGTTAATGATCAACCTTGTTTTCTCTCTCTCTGCCTTTTTTTTCCCCCATCACATGTGGACATCAGCAGTTTCCCAGTGCTATACACTTTATTTTTCTTTTTTATAATCAACTTTGGACAAGCAATAGGAGTGTAAGATTTTTTTAGTTATTCTGGACAGTTGTATAGATTTAAGGTCCAGTCCTAGAAGGTGTCAGCAACTCCTGCAAGGCACTGAGTTCCTTCAAAGCCCAGTGAAGTAATGTGGTGACAGACAATTATCTGGAGAAATAATGTTCAACTATACAATTTGCAGCACGTTCTAGGGAGTTGACAAGCCCTACCCCAGCCTACCTTAAAGCTCGAACAGTGCCCTAACCAGTAGCCTATGGCATACCCTGGGATAGATGGCTCTCCTTCTGAAGTTCTTCCACTTTGTATAAATAATTAAATAGTCTTTGAAACAGAGTGAGAATGACTCTATAGCCAAGTGATTAGAGCACTCAGGAACCCAAACTCAAGTCCCTGCTCCAATGATTATTTGTACAAAGTGGAATAGTTCCAACAGGAGTGATTCCTAGGGAAGAATATCCCATAGCCAAGTAGTTGAAGCCCTGTCCTAAAAAAGTGGGCAACAGAGGCTCAAATCCCTGCTCTATATTAGGCCAAGTGAGGATTCGAACCCAGGTCTCCCATATCCAGGGTGAGAGCTCTGGGCTAAAGATTATGGGGGCACCACTACCAACTCCTTCAGCAGGTGTGTTTTGTGTGGGGACTGATCAGTTAGCCTCTGAAAATGCTTACCAGATTGCACAGGGGAAAGACGAGTCTGAGGATCCCTCAGAGTCTTATACAGGAGATAGGTGCAGGAGATTGAGACTTAGACATCAATTTGCATGTTCACTGGCAGATTTATAGTAACTTACCAGACTTTGTTGACAGAGGCCTAGATGCCTGGGGACTTTAGGCACCTACAAAGTTGAGTGGCAACTGAGTGGGAGGGTTTGAGAATCTAAATTTTGGACTTTGGTTCCTAAAGTAGCAGTTGTGCTCCAAAGTCACCTAAGGCTAGATCCACAAAGGGACTTAGGTGTCTATGTGCCATGTAAAATAAATGAGACTTGTGCTCCTAAGTGCTTTTGAAAAATCTATTGTTCCAAAACCAACACTCAGCAGGTAAAATTCAGAAAGGACAACTATTGTTCCAAACAACTTCCAATTCAAAGCAGGGAGGTCAGCTCTTCAGATATCTCTCAGACCCTCTCTTCAGATATATTTGCTTATTTTCATCCAAAATTATCTTCACAGAGTAATTGTAAACATGAAACAAAACAAATAAATACGCAAACAAACAAACCAACCCTTCACCCCCATTAAAAATTGCCAAGTGTCTGTTTTAAACTGAATAAAACCTGGAAATTCAAGTATTAAGCTACGTGTTCCAGCTTTACCTATCTGATTGTGTCCATTTCAGGAGGAATCAAACACATACAGCAGAGTATAGCTTTATACAGCTGTGATGTATACTTAGGCATATCACACTGAAATGAGCTTTAATTCTGAACTTCTTGAATTTTGTTATTTTAAGCCAGCACTTTAAGCGTATTTCTGCCTGGATACATACATATATAGAGAACAATAAAAGAAACCAAGGAGGTTTCACCTGAGTATGGAAAACTACAAAGACTGCATGGTTAAAAGAATTTGGAAAATAAGGAAACATTTGATGCCATTCATTTAAATAAAGTAAGTGAATAGGTTATGTCAAGAAAGCATAAATATTCTTAAATTTTAAGATATAGTAAGTCAAAAACAGAGGTAATATAAAGAGGGAATAATCAAATGAGCCTAATCTGATCATTAGTAAGCACACCATGCAAAGGAAAAGAAGAGAGGAATAGATGAGACACTAAGAAGCTGACCAGATCATGAAAACAAGTTGGAAAGAAGGGAGGAAAAAAGGAAAGGATAGTTAATCCATGTGGGGGTTCTGCAAACTAATGGTACAGAATAGTGAACCTTTGCAGCTGTGGGCCACCCTCTTTGAACCCAGGTCTTTGTCATTCTTCATTAAGAAGAGCTGGGATCTGAGTTTCTGCAGCGAGTAATTGCTACATATTTCCAAAATTACACCAGCCAGTCCTTATTCTCTCTGTGGTGAAGGTAACTGTTGTCCTTGAGCATGGAAAGCACGAGGAAATGAGTTACCTTTGTTATGCTCGGAAGCGGGTATACGGTGCTTGTACAAGCACAGACGGTGGTGGTGCAGCAGTCATGGGTAATGCTTCATTTACTCAACAGCTCGCTCGCTCTCTCTCTCTCCCCTTCCATCCTCCTCCCCAGCCACGGATGATTGCTGTAGTGAAGTGAATTAATGGAGCTTTAATTAGGAAGGGAAAATGGCTAAATAAAACAAAGCACAGAATATAAAATGTGTGAGAAACATACTGCATTGGGAAATAAAATTATTATATGACTAATAAAATTAAATAAAATTTGTTGCAGCTATTCCAGGCTAACCTATCATTTATTGTTCAATAAAGATGTGCTGATAGTAGCAGTGCAGTACAAGGTGGAGGTAAAAGAACTAACTGTCATCTTAATCTACTGATTTCATTATTTACTAGCAAATACAGAGGTTGTTCAAATCTCACAGACAGACTCACAAACCAATGAAAGCAGGGAAATTCAAACTCAAAGTTACTGCGATGAGGTCCTTAGCGGATCTTGTATTGCAGTGGTATCCAAACAGTTTAACATTATATCCCATGCAGTTCTGTTTTAAGTGTAGTACCAAGGCACAGCAGGGGGAACTGAGGATAGCGTCTCTGAAATCCTTTGCAGTTGTCTCTAAGTCAGGTCCTTCAGATTGGGCCTGATGTTCTTCTCACTTACACCAGTGTAAATCAGCAGTAACTCTCCGGAAGTTGGAGTGATCCTGATGAAAATCTTGTGAAAGAAGAGAACCAAGTCCATTGTTTTTAATGTAGCATTTTGTGTTTATTTTTGTATCTATTTTAAAACAGCAAATATTGACATGTTACTTCTTAGACAGCAACCTAAACAAAAATATCCAAACAGTCTGTGGTAGAAAAAAAAGACTAGCCCTGTTACTGTTAAATGGGTCTTCTCTACTCTGCTCAGTTTCCACTGGGTGCTGCCCAGGAGCGGGACATGAGAGAAACAATGCAGCTCCTGAACCTCTAACCTGTTGCAGTAGCCTTGATGGAATGTAGAACAGTCTAAAGGGATGCTCTCAATTCATCCAACTGATAATGGCTCTCATCAACTGGAGATAGGAGGGGCCTGTGCTCTGGCCACCATGACCCCAGCCCAAACATGCCTCTACACCAGAGACTGCAGGGCCCAGAGTAGGCCTGAGAATATGGCCAAAAGTTTTTATCATTACCACTGACAAGAACTCTTATAATTAAAATATTACAGAAAGAACATATGCCTACACTGTCGTTGTTAGCTATATCCCTGTTACGCAAAATGATCCATTTATAGATATCATTTAGTATTTGTGTTTACATGATCAGATGGTTATTTAAATAGGGCACATGTGCACAGAGCTACCCGCACATTGCAGTGAACCTCACTCTGACACACGTGTACAACACATGGTCCTGTTAGACAGCTAGGTCTGAAGGACAGTTGGAACCTATCTTGGGAAGGGTCCCCACTCTCTCCCCATGAGCTGGTGAAACTGCTAAGTCCTGCCGCTATTTAATAAAAGCCAGCATCTGTGATTTACGTGCCTCAAATTACACCACTTCATCCAAGGGCCAGTTCAGAGCTTGTTACATGCACTGATGCTTGAAGCACAGCTATAACAAAAGACTGGACCGACAGTTTTCTTTGCCTTTAGCTACCATTTTATTTGCCTTTATTTTGTGTTTGGTTGGCCACCCTAAATGACCAGCCTGCAGCAGCTGCACCCTTCCAAAATCCATTTGATCAATCCTTCATACACTACGCCTTCCAGGGACAGGAAATATCAGTAAGGCGCTGCCATGCCCCAATTACATACACACACACATCAGTACTGCTGCAACCCTGTCTGGGCTGCTGAGATCGTTAGAAAAAGAATAATGGGGATTCTTCATGATGAATAGTGCTATATATTAGAAATGTAAGCTTGATCATTATCCTATCTCAGAATCACTGCATACAGCTATTTCTGGGGGAAAGTTCAACATGGATGATGGTCAACACCTGTTAAAGACATATTATTTATAGCAAAAGAGAAGCACACTGCTGTGTCCATTCGGGAATGAGCACAGGGTTCAACCTCCAAGAAACTGAGCACATCACAGATGGAGAAGATGGAGGAAAAGCTGATATGAAACATTCTACCAGACACACGGAGGAGTAGCACTAATGTCAGGAGAGAGTCACCCTCTCAGCTTCACAATTAGGAAGCAGCAAATGGGAAAACAAAGAAAAGGGGGACAAGTACAAAAGGGAAATAGAACAATTCTGCTGACTTCTCAAGATGGGGATTCACAACTGGGAAGAACCAACCCTTCATGCTTCTGCAGGAATTAGTACCCTATCCAACCCATCTACCAGCTGCTGAAACCCTCCCCACTCCACTCCTAATGGCAAGCTCTCCCAACAATCACTGAGGTCCTGCAGTCATCTCCTTCCCACTTATGCTGCACAGTTACACAAGACTTCCTGAGTTGCAAAGAGGCCCTATCAAGTCTATGGCTACCTGTGGTAATATGGCTAGTCTCCTCAAACTATGACACTTATCTGTAACATTTTGTAATCCTTTTTAATAAGTTAATAAATATTCAGTACCTGGATAAAAACTCCCATATTATTACCTATTGTTCCATTATAGCAGGGATCGGCAACCTTTGGCCTGCAGCCCATCAGGGAAATCCTCTGACAGGCTGGGATGGTTTGTTTACCTTCAGCGTCCGCAGGTTCGGTCGATCGCAGCTCCCACTGGCCGCAGTTCTCTGTTCCAGGCCAATGGGGGCTGTGGGAAGTGGCGGCCAGCACATCTCTTCGCCTGCGCCACTTCCCGCAGCCCCCATTGGCCTGGAACAGCGAACCGTGGCCAGTGGGAGCTGCGATTGGCCAAACCTGCGGATGCTGCAGGTAAACAAACTATCCTGGCCCGCCAGCGGATTTCCGATGAGCCGCATGCCAAAGGTTGCTGATCCCTGCATTAGAGTATCGCTGTCAGAAAGTGAGAGATCTTCACACAAAATGTGAAACAAACTTACACAATCCCAGAAATCAAGAGCTTTGTGTCTCATTTCAATTTTTCAAAAGTGTTTAGGTTTTAAACACAAAACATGAACTTTGCATTTTTCTCTCCAAGGGTTCGTCTACACTGCAGCTGGGACCGTGATTCCCAGGGAGGGTAGACAGACATGCTAATTCTACTCAAGCTAGAAAGATAAAAAGAGCAGTGTAGTTCGAGGTAGCACAGACAGCAGTTCAGGCGAGCCACCCAAGTACATACCCAGGGCATCTGGGGAGGTTTGCACTCAGTTCAGCTAGCCTGAGCTGCCACCCATGATACCCCCGGCTACACTGCTATTTTTAGCACTCGAGCAAAAATATCATGGGTCTGTCTACCCATGCTGGAAAGCACAGTTCCACCTGCAGTGTTGACATACCCCCACATTTTCCTAGTTTTAAATTTAAAAAAAAAAAGACACAATTTTCAAAATTGTTCAAACAATAATTCATCATTTCTTTTATATGAAAATCAATCTGCTACAAAAGCATGAGACATAATTTAATATCTTCTGTGCTTTCAAGGCGAAAAATGCCCATTTTGAATAAATATAATAAGAAACAATATCAGGGGAACAACATGGCCTGGAAAGAAATGACAAAAATATTAACCAGTAAAATCTATATACCAGGTTTGTTACTTTTCACCGAGCTCCAGTGAGTATGCAGCATATTTGACTTAAGATGATTTCAAACATAAAACTGTCTGATCAGTAAAAATCTTAATATTTTTGGCCAGGATTTTCAAACAACTAGCAATTTTGATTGTCTCAATTCGTGGGTTCCCGATTTGAGGCATCTTAAAAGGGCATGATTTTCAGACTGCACTGAGCACCACTGTTCTGAAATTCAGGCCCCTTTAGGGTGTCTCAGTTAGGGAATCCACAAAATAAGGTGTTAAATCACTTGTCACCTTTGAAAATCTTGGATTTCAAGCTAAAAATATCCAAATCTACTATTGTAAGTTTTTTATGACACGTACAGTACTAAGCAATATTGTTCTTCTAAATCTGGTCAGAAATGTGTAAGTAGTTTTCTGCACAAATAAACAGATAACTGAATATTTTTATGTATGGTAGGATTATTTATTATGAAATGTTGCTCTGGAGCACAGTTGCCAAATCTCACACAGTAAATAAGCACCCCAACTTTCACAATAAGCCAAAAATCAAGCTAATCCCATTTCAAAAGAAGGCCAAAACAAGCCAACACTCTATGTGACTAGATCCCCCCAGCGTGCAGTCTAGGACTGTGGTGGGCCCACTGTGCACTCCTTATTCTCCCTCTCACTTGTCCCTGCTTGCCCCTTGTCCCCCCCTTTTGCCCCCCCCTTGCCGCTGCTTGCCTGGAGCTGATCAAAAAAAGACGCAACAAGCTACAACAAGCAACAAGCTACAAGCCAAACAAGCTACAAGCCAAAAATTAGCCAACAAGCAACTCACAAGCCAATTAAGCCAAAAACAAGCCCAATTTCTGCGGGTTTTTTCACAGGTTTGGCAAGTCTGCTCCGGAGAGATGTCTCCCATTCACATCACTCTACTCCAAAATGGGCTTAACACAAGGTAATGCAAGTAAGAAGAATATCCTTCTTGCTCATCATGAATCCTGTTAAGTCCCTAAAACCAAACAGATTTTTTTTTCCTTTTCCTCCATGGTTAACCAGCAAATGGAAATGAATTGCTCTGCCATCATTCAGCCACTTTACAGAAGGCCCTAAATAGAAAAGTACCTTGATTGTGACATACACTTTCAGATAGTGACCCATCATTCAACTCACTAAACTGCTATACTGCAGTGAATTGAGCTAGTGAATTTTTATTCATTCCCAAACCTACAATTAATTACAATTTCAGTCTCACCATCAAAAAAGCTAAGATCAGACAATCGTCACTGATGAACACCAGGTCAAAAAAGAACTCATCATAATCTACATCTATATTTTTCCCCCGAATTGAACTGCCTTTTTAATAGGCAGCAATTAAAATTGCCCTTCTCTGCTCATACATAATTTGTACAAAACTGAGTGTTCAAACTCTACTTTCAGACAGAGCTACGTAAGTATACACATGATCCACATATGTGGAGATATCTATATGATAAATTGCAGAGCCCTGTGATAAATTAATTTACCATACACCTTTAACTGTGTCACCTGACCTCTATCTACTCCATCTCTTCCTGAACTACTTCAAAACCCTGAGCATTTAAAAAATGAACCTATTTAGAAAAAAGGTCCCTCTTTCTCCCTCCAAATATGGAAATCCTCCTCAAAATTACACCTACCTGAAGTGCAGGGTGAGCAATATTCAGGACAGCTTTTCTATATATAAAATTGTCATAACTTTTAAGTCTTTGCATCCCTATAAGCCTAAAAATGAGAGCTTTATACCATTGGAAAGGATCAGTTTCCCACCTTCTAAGCTTGGAAGGTCCCAAGATATCGGATGTTAATGTCTTGACATTTTGGGGTATAGAAAAACTCCTTTAGTCTATTTTTAGAGCTTTTTAAGATTCCATGTGAGACCTGCACACAGTTAGACCTAAGGAGACCAGTGCATCTAACTTACCATTAACTGTACAGGAAATAGTCCATAAACATATTTTGGACACACCCCTGAAATAGTTTATCTGTAACGCATGTGTCATGTACAGGAAATATGATGATATGATTATACCTTGAAGGCTTTATCAGCATAAACTCGGTGCCATTAAAGGTCAAGATTTTCAAAAACAGGAGCTTAAAGCTCAGTGCTGAAATCCATGCTAAAGAACAGACCTGATTTTGAAAAGTGCTGAGCACCAAGAAAGTCCTATTTAATTTCTCCTCTTTGGTTCAGCACTAAATTCAAAATGGAAAATGCCACCTCCTGAAACCTCAAACACCACTTTATGTAGCACCATCGGTTTTCCAGTACGATCTTCCATTCAAGAACTCACCGAGCCAAAACTTGGTTGATATTTGGGATCTGGCACTATCACAGGCTAGGGGAAAATGTTTTACCTGACCTTTTGATCTTTCTTATGTTGCTTAGCTCAGTAAAATAAGAACATTAGACCAGCTATACTGGGTTAGACCAATGGTCCATCTAGCCTACTATCCTGTCTTCTGACAGTAGCCAATGCCAGGTGCTCCAGAGGGAATGAACAGAACAGGTAATCATCAAGTGATCCATCCCCTGTTGCCCATTCCCAGCTTCTGGCAAACACAAGCTAGGGACACCATCCCAGCCCATTTTTGCAAATAGCCATTGATGAACCTATCTATCCTATCTATCCTCCATGAATCTATCTAGGTCTTTTTTGAACCCTGTTATAATCTTGGCCTTCACAACATCCTCTCAGTATTCAGTAGTGTCCTTCAACGTGAGAAGGAAAACATAACTCATTCTTTCAGGAGGTGTGAGAAGGCAGAGTCCTCCAAGATACTTCTATTTGTAAATATCCAGCCCAGAAAGTTCACTGGCATATGTTTATGTTTATTTTATTTGACACATTTTTTCAACATTTTCATCTGCCAACTACCACCTCTTAAAAAACTGAATTCAGAACAATAGTCACCTTTAGATGTAGACAAATTGTCCCTAATAGTTATCTTGGCTAACACCAACCTCTTAAGGAATAACTTTAGTATCATGACAGGTTTCAGAGTAACAGCCGTGTTAGTCTGTATTCGCAAAAAGAAAAGGAGTACTTGTGGCACCTTAGAGACTAACCAATTTATTTGAGCATAAGCTTTTATGAGCTATCCGATGAAGTGAGCTGTAGCTCACGAAAGCTTATGCTCAAATAAATTGGTTAGTCTCTAAGGTGCCACAAGTACTCCTTTTCTTTTTAGTATCATGTACTCTCCTAAGGTCTTTCTTTTTTCTAGATGGTAGTGATTTATTCATTTGTCAAACTGAACAAAAATACAAGAAACAAATATAAACCTGGGTCAAAAACAATGTTCCTTAAATGGGCTATTATTTCTTTGTAATACAATTTGTTTTGCCAAATTTCTCCCACTGAAGTTGGACTAGCTGGTTTCTTTATTAATTAAAGACTGATCTAGGGCCAAATGTTTCTCTCTAGTTACACTGGTGCAATCCCATAGAAATCAATGGGGTTGTAAAAGAGTAACAATGGTAAATTAAAAATCCAGCCTGGAAAGGGGTGTATTCTTTCTTTCTTATTCTTCCCCACTGTCATACGGTACTAACTGGTCATTCATGTAAGTAAATCATTTGATACAGCATAGCATAAATGACACTATTCCACAAAACATCTAAGCTTTAGGAAGCAAACCTCCCAGTGCAGACCGCAATTCAGAGATGTTTTACATAGCACAGCAAAAGTAGATGTTCCACACAGCCAGTCTTACCATAAATGAGGTTAATTTGTGTTAGCAAACTGTCAAGGAACCTGTCATATCCTATTGTCTTTCCTAGTACAAGAATGTTAAACATATTACAAGAGTTAAATAAAAAAAACCCACACACTTTGAAGAAAATCACCAGGTTTAATAGCCTCTTTTTTCGAATTTCATTTCCATCTGATTTGCAAAGGACTTTTGTTTGCTGAATTTTGTATATTGAAAAATAGCACTCTGCTGTACTGTAAGGTTTATTTTCCTCTGAAGCTACTGCACAATAACCATGACATAAATTCAAGTGCAAATGCTTTGTTCCTTTCTAAACTTGAATTAGTAAATTGATCTTCTTCACTCAGCATGTTTTTAATGAACTCAAAGATAAAATTTGATAAGTTCACAAAAACAATTAAATTAGAAGAGCACAACGAATAAGAGGCGTTAATATACTACGAGCCTCTAAAATACATGTAATAAACCAAAATGCATTGGAATTGTTCAAGAAAGATTCTATTAAATTGTGGGTACTACATAGTTAGTATAATGATTGACGATATATTTGTAAAGGCTTTATTTACATCCTGCCCTTGTAGAATCTACTGTTCCAAAAGGTCATGAGAAAATACTGTCAGATGAGCATGTTGTTCTGAAAATTATTCCAAAGAAATTGGAATCAAGGGACAGTTACCTGAACTGATAGCAGGTGTAATAGTTGGAAAAGAGGTTTTAAAAAATAGATATTCACGGAATCAGTACTATGAGGCATCGTGTCTTACACATGTCAACAAAACAAAGTGTATCCCTATGTAGTGCACTGGACCAAATTCTGACCTGTACATCTATGCAATCACATTGATTTTAAATGGGTTGATTTCAATAAGACTGCTTTGATTTCACAAAAGCATGGGAGAAGGGAGAAAATTTGACATACTGTGTCAGGATTTACCAATAGTAACCAAAAAAATCTCTAACATGTCATGTTTGGTAATTAGATTCATTTCTGATACATCAGTTTTCCACTGTGGGTAAAATAAATATGTGGGGGCACTGATCATGTTACTATTGCTTTTTCCTCCTTGATAATAAAGACACAGTTGGTCAAACTGTTTATATCTGCATTGAGAGAGTGAGTGAGAAAATTAATTTTTCTTCAAACGTGCTTCAATCCTGTTTCAAGTACAATTTACATGTACATATGGGGGCTGTTTTCCTCCCTGATCCTGAAGGCCTAATCCTGAAGGTCAGGGCCTATCCTGCAAGGTGCTGAGAGCCTCCTGAAAGGTGTAAATTCCCTGAACACTCACCGACTTGGAGTTATTCAGCACCTTTCAGGATTAGGCCCACAGAGAGGAAAACAGCCCCCATATGTACATGTAAATTACATTTGGGGCTTGTCTACACAGGAAAGTTGTACCAGTATAAAGTAGGCTGTGAACTTAAACAGCTAGAGTTATAACAGTATAATTCCTCATCTGCACACTTTTATTCCAGTATAAGAGTGTCCACATGGGGTGTTTATACCAGTATAATTATATCAGTTTAACTATACCCATATAATTATATGGGTATAGTTGGAAAAATCTCCCATGTAGACAAGCCTTTACAATATATTTTACACTGTGGTATTCTAACAGGTTGTGGGATCATTCACAAGTCAAGAAATAAAATCTACTACCTCCTTCCGTGTTTTTCCTGTTTTACAATGCAGGTTTTATGGTGAAGTTACAGTGAATTTTGTTTCCAAATCCCAACATATTTACAGCATGCCACATATGCAAACATGCACACAACTCTCACATACTGTGTCACCTCCTTTTGACTTTTGTATCCTGACTCATCTCATCTGACAGCAAGCAAGCATGGGTAGCATTCACCCTCCTCCCTGTACACACACATACACAAAACACATATAAAGATTATAACCTTCACTGCAGATATTTCACCTAGAAAAGATTTATCAGTGAAGTCTCCTAATTTTCACCCTTTACATTAAACATGAAAAGCCAAAAAAGAATCTGAAATCCTAATTTTTATTTTTCTTCATTATTGTCTCACAAACTCTTAATTAGAAAAGATATTTCTTACCAAATGATGAGCTCTTATGTCTGCTTTAACACTTGAAAGGTTACAGGAATAGGAAAAGGAAAGAGTTTAATTAAAGAATAAATTATTGAATACTCAATTTTAATTGATGTAGCCCTCTGCTATTATTTTGCATGTTTATAGATATTTTATGTGAATCTGTAATCAAGATGACACAAAGAAAGACTAACTACTGAGGCTAAAAGAAGGAAGGGCTGTTGCATGATCACATTCAGCAGTTTAAGTTCCAGAATTGTGTGAAGTGTGGTTTCCATGACAACAAGTCACTAATTGCTAACATAAAATAAAGTAAAAATCAACCTTGACTGAATTTGGCAGCTACGTGGAAGCTGTAAAATCCTTAAATAATAATAGTAATAATAATAAATGACATTATTTCTATTTGATGAAAAAAAACACCCAAGTCCACCTTCTGGGTGAAGGCACCCAGACTTCCATGGTTAATTCAGATTTGGCAAAGGTGGCAGCATAAAGTAGTCATTGTGTGTCATACTTGATAGTCAACACCTACCTTTAACAAGAGATAAGGAGAGATGATTGTGATGAAGAGCTGAGGGATTTTTGTATCCTTGGGCTAGAAATCAGCAAAGGAAAATGCTGTGGAGAATGCACAAAGTAAATAAAAGACACAAATAACAGGATTTTAACCATAAATTCTAACAGGGTGAGAAGAAAAACAAATTAAGGGGGAGAAAAGGGGAGCTAAATCTATACATGTTTTCCTTACTAACTTGTTCATGAGGGGTTTCAGACCCCTCTGGTTTGCAGATTAAAGGAGTCTTTTGAGACTGTGGAAAACTGTTTGGGAGGCACAATGGCACCATTCAAAATTCACCAATTTATGAACTGCTACGTATAATTTCTAAAAATTGCTTCAGCCTGAGTTACCTTTCACCAGCTCTGTAAGTCGACTCACTGGGTCACTAGGAGTGAACGAGAACATTTTGATAAATTCAGTTTCCATGACAATGAATTAACGGTGGAAAAAGGGGAGGTGTTGAAAGATCTGTGTTCTGTAGAATACTCTTCAAATGTTTGCCTGTTTTCATTTTTAGCCACTTAGTTCTCATGGCTCTGTTCCAAGTCTCTTTAATTTGCCAGTAGCTGTTTTTCCTCCGCAGATTAGAGGAGTAATTCATCAGTGAATGTTTCACTCATTGGTCCCATTTAATGTAAGAGAACATAAAAATGATTTTTTCCAATTATGCTTTTTGTTTGTTTAAAAAGAATGCAGCAGCCTTTTTTGTTGTTTCACTACAACCTGGCTACAGTGTTCTTAATCTTTCTTATTTATTGCCCATTACTGTACTTACAAGTACAATTGCATCTTGTGAGATGTTGGGAGTTGGTTTTAAATACCAATGAGTCCCCAAAACAAAATAATGATTTTATGTTTGGTTCACGAGGAACAAGCCAAAAAAAGAATGGCATACTCTAGAAAGCCAGCGTATTCTACTTCAATGGAAACAGCTGAGAGAAAGTTACAAAAACAAGTAGCTTTTTCCGTGATAGAACTGGTTAAAATTATGCTTCTTCAGCTGTATCGCTTATAAAAAAAGCCTGAAACATCCAGAAAGTCGGGCCAGAACCAAAAGCCACTGAAGTCATTGGAAAAAGAAAAGGAGGACTTGTGGCACCTTAGAGACTAACAAATTTATTTGAGCATAAGCTTTTTGTGAAAATTTATGCTCAAATAAATTTGTTAGTCTCCAAGGTGCCACAAGTCCTACTTTTCTTTTGGCGGATACAGACTAACACAGCTGCTACTCTGAAGTCACTGGGTGTCTTTCTGTTGACATGCAGTGGGGTTTGGATTAGGCCCTTGTACCAATGAGATGGAGAGGAGAGGTATACAAGCATTCTTTAATGTCTGTTTAATTGAGATTGAAGCAGGGAGATCTAGTGATTGTTTTCACTCCAGATGGGGACAGTTAGTTTGTCATTCAGAGACAATTTAGGCAAATTTGCCCCCCTGATCCTGAGCACTTCCTGCAAGGTGCTGAGTCCCCAGAACTCCCCAATGGAGTCAATAGGCATTGAAGGGGCTCACCACCTTGCAGTCTCTTCCTGTCTGCAAAATGGTGTCGTTTTATATGCTTTACAGACGATTGGAGGGTTTTCCTGTGAAGTTGCTGGTGGCTGCACCAGCCCAGCAGGGACCCAAGTGTCTGCATGATTTGCAAAAGGAAAAAAATGTTGCTAGAAAAAAATAAGGCAGGAAAGAAAAGAAACAAAAGGAAGAAGTCAGTTACCACTTATGCAAGCACACAGTGCCTGCAGAACAGCACTCTGTGAATTTAAATAAGGAGTCAGAAAAACTATTTCCTTTCTTTAATACGCACACAGACATATCTATCTATAATATGCAGAAATATATGCAAGTGTATGTATACACAAACACAGAGAGAGAGAGAGATGCTTATTTAAAATTGCACTATATCTGAAAGCTTATATTCTATCATAGGCTCCCAGAGAATTTCTAATTAAAAAAAATACGATCATTCTCTTCCACACAATAATATTATTAGACTGTGCATGGCTGAAAATCAAAGTAGCTGTTTTAGTCAATGAGACTTAGTTGCTTTGAAGCAGCTCCTCACGAGAAAAATAAAAAAATGATTCAGAGTTGAGTGAAATTCAGTAAATCAGTAGCCTTGAGTCTCTCAGTCTTGATTTAAAATAGCAGGGGCACTTTCTGTCAGCCAGCTGAGTACATGTGGACAAGCACAAGCCTAATGACTTCTTTTGTTCATCTGCCATGTGGAACTATTTCAACATTCTTATCTAGGATGTGAATGAGATGCGCTAATAGCGCCATGTTTCCACTCCTGGAACCGAGGAACTAATGCAGGTAGCACGCACTTATGTCCCATTGATATTAATGATGTGAGATCACTGCTTTCAATGAAACTGAGTCTGCAGTACCCACAGTGACAGACAAATCCTGATCCTTCCTTTGCTCTCCCCGTGACCTTCAGCTGGCACCAGACACTGCGGCACATCATCTCTTGTTAATGTAATCACAGGTGAAATATGGATAAACAACAGTTGTCTCAGACCTGTAGATTGCTAATAAGTGTCACGCAACACAGTGGAGCTCAGGTGCAGATCATTAAAAAGATGTAAGAATGAGAAGAATAACAACTTGTCAGTCCATCTTGTGTCAAACTTAACATTCTCATGATACTAGTGAGCACCAGGCACAAGCAGTTGTGTCCTCTGCTCAGTAGAACTTGGACTAAGAGTACAGCGGTGGAACTTATTTCCAAATACTTTTGGTTAAACTTTGAGCCTTTGCTCAAATTAAGGAAGAATATAAGAACATTCAAAATTTCATTTTTTTTTCCTAATAAAGGTCTAAATGGTCTAGCCAAGCACTGTGAACTTTAACTAATAGTTTCATGCTACAGTAATGGCACCTATTATTTGAATTCATTCTCCACACTGACAGCACAATTCAGACATACTCCAGTCTGTGACATTTTAAGTGACTTGCGATTTTCCAGTGTATCTTCTACAGTATACATACATTAACTACAGAATATAATAGATACATATGTACACAAAACCTGATGCTTTTACTTCTGCTGTTATATTTCAGAGTTTGAACCACTGTAAGCTCTTTAAAATACATTCTGTTCTTGACATATCCAGTATGTATATTAGTGTGCTAAATTTAATCAAAAAGAAGAGATGGCTAAAATACTCCAGGCCTGTCTGAAGTTTTTAACTCTTTCCATCAGGGTGCTCCTCTCCCATTCCCCAGTTACTATATTTTATATTGTTCTTAAAAAATAAACTACAAGAAATAAATAGGAATGATAACTACAATATTAGTTTTGATCATGAAATTACTCAAACAGACATTTTTTAAAAGAATCATTTATCACAGGAGCTGGCATAGCTGCCATGTTTTAAGCAGCTCCATGTGTGGCATTTCTTACAGATAAAAGCAAACTACTAATTTTCCCCTGCAAAGCTATGCAAGTATGTATATAAATAGACAGAAAGCTGGGAGGGAGAAGGGATTCCTCTTGGGCCAATTCTCAAGCAGCGGGAGGGGGGATGGGTGGCACGGATGGAATCAGGAGCCAATCCCTCACCACTCCGAGAAATGAGGTTTGTGCCAAGAGGGTTCACACACACACACACCTCACACATATTTTACACACACACACACAAATGCACACACACAAAATGCACACAGATATATATTTGGGAATTTCTTCTACATCAAGGGCAAGGGTAGGTAAAGAAGCCAACCTTTGCTCTTCCCCTCGTCACAGAACCTGGCACTCGTAGTGTTCATTCCCCTGTTTGGTCCTGACTCTTCAGAGTAAAAGAGGAGAGTAGGAATGCCAGGGATCTGGTTGTCCAGAGTACCATAAATTAGGGAGAGCAGTGTTTGGCATTGGGAAGATATGATGGTGCAGTGGGAGTTGGAACAGTGGGGCTGGAGTATTTGGGACAATTGCAGTTCAGGGAGGACCAACATTAACTTGAGGAGTTGACAACAAGGATTGTTTAGGGGCCCTGGGTTTTAGACTGTTTTCTAGTTGCTGAGTTTCGATGTTATAATGTGATAGTAGCTGTTGTGTTACGGCAGTGGCAATAAACTATTGCAACCAATGTCCTCCAAACAACCTCGGAAACATTAGTGATTATTTTTGAGAACTCATGGAGGACAGGTGACATCCCACAGGACTAGTGAAGGACAAACATAGTTCCTATCATTAAAAATGGAACAAAGAGGACATGGGGAATTATAGACCAGTCAGCTTAACTTTGATCCCTGGAGCGATACTGGAACAAATTATTAAACGATCAGTTTGCAAGCACCTAGAGGATAAATAGGGTTATAAGGAATAGCCAAAATGAATTTGTCAAGAACAAATCATGCCAGACTACCCTAATTTCCTTCTTTGACAAGCTTATTGGCCTAGTAGATGACATGATATATCTGTATTTTAGAAAGGCTTTTGACACAGTCCTACATGACATTCTCACAAGCAAACTAGGAAAACGTGTTGTAGATTAAATTATTATAAGGTGTGTCCACAACTAGTTGAAAACCTGTACTCAAAGAGTAGTGATCAATGGTTCACTGTCAAACTGGAAAGACGTCTTGCAGGGATCTGTCCTGGGTCCAATACTATTCAACATTTTCATTAACGACTTGAATAATGGCATGGAGAGTACGCTTATAAAATTTGTGGATGATGCCAAGCTGGCAGGGGTTGCTAGCACTTTTGGAGGACAGTATTAGAATTCAGAATGATATTGATAAATTGGAGAATTGGTCTGCAATCAACAAGCTGAAATAAAGACAAGTGCAAAGTACTACATTTAGGAATAAAAAAATCAACTGTACTAATACAAAATGGTGAATAATTGAAAAGCCATAGTACTGCAGAAAAGGATCTTGGCATTATAATGGACCACAACTAGTATATTAACCAACGATGTGATGCAGTTGTGAAAAGGGCTAATATCACTCTGGGGCAGCTATACTGGCTGTGGAAAAATCCAGTGCAGATGCAGCGATGCGTGACTAGGGTGACCAGATGTCCCGATTTTATAGGGACAGTCCCGATTTTGGGGTCTTTTTCTATATAGGCTCCCATTACCCCCCACCCCCTGTCCTGATTTTTCACATTTGCTGTCTGGTCACTCTATGCGTGACAAGGGGGCCTAATGTGTGCATGCCATGCAAGAGAAGTGACACTTGACAGGTTTGGTGTAGCAGCATCTCACACACTGAAACCCAACTCCACCCACACAGACCCCTCATTCCATCCACCCACTAACAAATGAACACAACAAAACCACAATTACCTCTCAAAGTTAGTCTGCTCAGCAATCCATTTCATGAGTGCGTAATCTAAGCCAACTCCGTGCTGCACTGGCTGTGTTCCTCAAACTATGACCTAAGACCCAGAGAGACTTAGAGAGTCTGGCATAAAGGATCCCTTTTGTGTTCCTTAAAATTGACACTAGGAGTGACAATATATAGTTCCATCCTCCAACCAATCAACATAACCCCCAAAAATCCACTGTAAGCACTTTTGTAAAAAATTTCTCTCTTTCAGTATAACCAAACTTTCTCAGTTCCTGGCCTTTTAACGGGAACATCAACAACACTACCCCTAACATTCCCACCCACCCACCCACAGTACCGCAGGAAATACACAGAAATGTCAACTATCAATTCTAAGCATGAAATTATAGCCCAAAACTCAAAACCTTAAAAATGAGTTCTCTTACACATTAGAACACAACAGTGTTACTTAGAACACTAATCTCACCCACTAACCAATAAATATAACCAAATCCACATATGTCCCAGCCATCTACCACTTATCTGCTGTTGTAGGAATCTGCCTGCAATGGACTGGCCTTGTGTACAGGCTAATGAAGGGATAGTTCCCCTAGCTGCACTACCACCAAGCCACACTGTGCTAGAGGCCAAACCATAGGTGTCACTTTGTATCCACAGAACACAGACCAAACCTTTTACCGATAAAAATAACCAACAACGTAATAGCTCTTCCAAGTAATCAACGGGCAAGGGATAGCTCAGTGGTTTGAGCATTGGCCTGCTAAACCCAGAATTGTAAGCTCAATCCTTGAGGGGGCTATTTAGGGATCTGGGACAAAAATTGGGGATTGGTCCTGCTTTGAGCAGGGGGTTGGACTAGATGACCCTTCCAACCCTGATATTCTATTATTCTAACCCACACAACTTAGGAACCAATAAATAGTTTTGTAAAATTCATATTGGAAAAAATAAATACATACGTTTTATAAAGCAAACAGATGACTGCAGGCAGTATGATATTAGAAAGAGTCCCACTCATTAAGGATGACCTATAATAACCCATTCATGGCTCTTCTTCTCTCTGTAACTCAAATCATGAAAAGTTATTCCTAATGTGCGAAAATATTTCTCATAGCACTCTGTCCTTGGTTATGTATTATATAAATTATGGAGTATACTACTGTATACACTGTCTATATAGTAGTTTTGACAATCAGGAGTTCTGAAGAAATATAAAAGAAATAGTTACCAGATCTGCCCTTACAGAAATTTTGTCAGTGTTAAAAATCAGTAAAACCTGACTTCAATAACCGGTATTAGGTTCTCAATAATGCCAAAGTCAATAGCTGCTTTTGTAACGGTGTTACAGTTTAAGCACTGCTGCAGGCCTGTGCTACACTTGAACATGGGATCAAAAACATAAAAGCAATGTGACTGCATTGCTTTCGCTTTATATTCTAACACTCTAAGGGTCTTTACATAAGTTCAATTGACAGTGGCATTTTGTCATTGATCTTTTCTAACGCAACTTTTGCATCAATATTTTTCTTCAGGAACTTCCTTTGAGGAAGATGGTGTCTAAATGGGTTAAGTGTACGTGTGTCTATTGTAATAAGAAAGTCTAGAAAGCCAGCCAAACACTTCAATTCAAGATCTGCAAGCCCAGTGCTAGAATAAGGTTACCCATGCACAACTCTCTTAAGTTCTAAGTTGCCAAACTTTCAAGGGAAATTCCCTTGACTCCAATATTAGTCATAACAAAAGAATATTGGTGAAATCCTGGACCCACTGAAGTCCGCTGCAAAACTCCCATCAACTTCAGTAGGACCAGGATTCCAATCAAGGCTTTTAAATTGCTATTGTAAGGCACTCCAGTACATGGATGTGAGATTCCACAGTCCAGATTTTCAAAAGAGCTGAGGAACATATTTTCAAGTACTCGGTACCAAGTAGCTCCCATTGTGAAACTTATTGGCTATAACCACACACTCTTTTGAAAATCTGGCTAATAATTTTGGTGCCTAAATAGAAGGTAAGAACATAAGAACGGCCATACAGGTCAGACCAAAGGTTCATCTAGCCCAGTATCCTGTCTTCTGACAGTGGCCAATGCCAGATGCCCCAGAGGAAGTGAACAGAACAGGTAATCATCAAGTGATCATCCCATGTCACCCATTCCCAGCTTCTGGCAAACTGAGGCTAGGGACACCATCCCTGTCTATCCTGGCTAATAGCCATTGATGGACCTATCCTCCATGAACTTATCTAGTTCTTTTTTGAAGATGAGCTCTTTAAATCTCCCCTCACATCCTCATATGCCAAAAAACAAAATATCAGAAATGTTGGTTTCTTTCCTTCTTTTTTTTAAAATCATGTAGAGGTAAGTAGTAAGCTAACAGCATTGCACAACCCAACAAAAAAAACCTCAGTCCTCAGTATCTTGAGTCTGGGAACAGGTTAAAGCTTTCAATAGCTAAAACCGCAAAAGTCAGATACATACGAGAGGTAGAGTACTTTCAGAATCCAAAGAGCACTCTTTTACTGCTCAGTGCGTGTGACATTCCTGCTGGCTGAGGTATAGGCAACTTATGCTGCCACTTACTTGCCTCCTCAGTCAATTCAGGAGCCATCTAAAAAAGAGGGGAGGAAGACTAGGGAAACATGTTAAGACCAATGCAAGAAAAGTTCTATTCCCTGAATAGGTCGGATTTACCTGCAAATTCTCCTACAAAATCCAAAGATTCTGTACTCCAGTCCCGGATTATATATTTATGATTTCACCTTCGAGCTTATCATACCACCAAGCAAATGATACCATATCATGATCTGAACCCGTAGATCAGTTTCTTTGACACTGATATTGATTTTCTTCTTCTAAAAGGGACCTGGCAATATGAAGCAATATAGTGAGATAGTCTTTTCAATAGAGCATAGCCAGGGCAGCCATTCTGGCCTGTGGAAATCCTGCAGTATAACAAAGGGATGCATGGCTAATTCAGGTATTGGAGAACAAATCCCTTAAGTGAAAAAATAGTTATGCAACCAAATACTTACATCATTATGCTTTCTCTTCCATCTTTAGAATAATATCAATTTTCCCCGCCTGAGCCCCGTGTTCGTAGTTGCACATTCTCAGTGGTGTGTTTAAGATAATGAACCCTAAAAAAACAGAGGTTACTATTACTAAGGGGATTTTTCTATTAAGTTTTAACTTCACTTACAATCCATCTTTTTCCTTTTCCTTTCTTTTCAAAGATTTTGTTTTGTAGTGAATAGGATTTTAGGCTATTATATAACTCACATTAGCATAACTTTCTCATCTAAGGAAGTTACTTCAATACATCTTATGCATATTCTGTATTTTATACAAAGTTTCAAGAACACTTATTCTTCTCCTGTCCAACTTTTATATTCTTCAGTGACTTTTACGTTTCTCACTAATTCTTGCCCCAACAGAACTAACAGCATCACGGAATGTAAAAACTATTATACATAGTTTGTTTTAAAAAACACATTTTGAAAGTCCCCTAGGATGGATCTATGATTATTACTGCTCTGCTGCAGCCCCTGCTGGTAAAGGACAGCTGTCAGACCTACAGGTCTCTTCACAATTATGCCTGTCAAACCTACTGCTTAATCACCAGCTTAGCCATGGGTGACCTTCAGGTTCACAGAAACTTGAAACTGGTTTTCCTGCCATCTGCAGAATGGCAACTGTGCATTGTTATCACGGTGGACAGCGAATGCCGAAGGAATAAATAACGTTTATGAGTCTTTTTTGACACGTTTGTAGCATCAACCAATAAAAAGAAGACTGGAAAATATTAGTCTAAGAAAAGAAAAGCAATGCAGTGTAAGATATACCACCTGAAAAGGCTTCACTTAAAGTACAAGTCATGACATAGTGTCAAAAAAGAATTTTTCACCCAGTGGAAGCACATTAAATTATGCTAGTACTGTCTGCTCTTCCATGTGGTTGTTCACAGATGTTTGTGAGAGAAAATCTTCCTTTCTGCTTGACCCTAAAAGCTGTCCCCCACACAGCCTTTATATTACAATGCTAAAAAGCAAAAAATAAGAATTCCTCTGGGATAGAGACTAAATATTTACAGGATGTTGACCAAAGTACACACAGAAAAAAAAACGTAAAGATATTTATCAGGAAAAAAATCATACATCATTTAAAATGAAAGAACTAGAGTGGAAAACACCCAGGTGATTGCAGTTTGTTTTACCATACATCCCTGAAACTCCCTGTAGTGGAAAGAAAAATAGCAAGAAGGTTATGATAACAAAACATACCTATTTTTCTCACATTTATCATCATATTTAAGCCAACCTTCCCAAACAGTTCTGTAAAACATATACATTTGTAATAGGTATCATATTCTCACAGGGCTAAGTTGAGAGAAAAATCGTAGGAATAATTTACATGAATGTGAATCGTGTAATCAAGAAAGCTGAAGGCAGTGGGTGTGGGGAAGAGAAGGAACAAGAACAATGGAAGACAGGAAACAGGACACAGAAGACAAACCAATTTAAAGATCTGGAATGACTGGCTATTTTTATACAAGGAAAATGATCTTAAGGAGGAAGAGTGTTTAAGCCAGCAACAACGACAGCTACAAAAAAATATATGTAGTCTAAACAGGAACAGCATCCTACAAAGGAAGACCGTGCCTCTGGGTTACCTCCATGAGAAGTTTCAAATCTCAGAATGGTTGAAGAAACAAGTCTTATTTAATAGCAGGTGCTATGTTGTATGCTGTATTTTGTCAAGCCCAAAGGGACTATCAGACCCTGCTACATATTAAAAGGAGATCAGAAAGATATGATTTTTTTCACACTGCTCCAGAAAACATGATATACTGGCACACCCAAAAAGTACAGACTAGTGTAATAGTTATATAGGTGGGTATAAAATAAAAATAAGGGAGCAATGCATACATGAAAAAGTAGAATCATCCCAAGTATTATTGTCAAAAGAGAAGCAATTTTCATCAAGCAAAAGGTCAATAAATTACAAAAAAGTCAGCGAATAACTGTCTTCATTATATTGTTTGAGAAATATTTTCATTTGAAAGGAATTACTTTTTCTTAATATTTTCCAGTTTGTAATCTAGCCAGAAACGACTACTTTTATTTATTATTTCTACAGTGCCCCAAAATATGCTAGCTGCATTACAAATAAATGAATTGGACAAGGTGAGTTTGTCGAAGAAACTCTTGCATTCAGGAGTAGCCCTAGCTGTTTTGCCAGACATAGCAAAAAACATTTCAGCACCCCCACTTCTCCTGTCTTTCCTGACTCCCTCCCCACCCCTCCAGAAGCCAAGCAAAAAAAAAAAGAAAAGAAAAGAAAAAAAGAAAACCCACTGTCACAGTGGTACAGCACCTCTTGAAAGCTGGCACCAATGGAGGTTGCCCTGTTTGCCCACCCCTTCCCACCTGCTTCCAAAAAACAGGCCTGGTATTTCAAACACTTGCAACTGGATGTAGCAATTACTATAATTAAAAGGCCTCTGATTGACAAAAGGACTACACAAGGCAGTAAATATGACACCCAATAGCAAAGGTTTGAAGATCAGGCCCTAAATATTAGGCAAGAAAACAACTGAAAGGGAAAACATCTGTGGAGAAAGGAGGAATTTAAGGACAAGGGCTACAAATATAGGCCTTGATTCTGTAAGTACTTTATGACCTATTGAAGTCAGTAGGACTATTCATACAATTAAATTTTCTCACATGATATTTTGTGTTTGCAGGCTTATGGCCAGAAACTCCTTAAAGATGTTATGTGATTATCTTGAAGTTGCCATCAGTAGAGTTGATGATATTTCAATGAGAAACAGAAATGAAATGCCACAAAAAGACCCCAAAACAATTTTTTTTCTTTTTCCAACCAAATCTGATATTATAGATGTATGCCCACAGGTACATCTAAACATAGCAAAATGTGTCTGAGTGTTTGATGTGCATTTATCTTTTTATTAAAACATTATTTTTAAAGATATATTAAGCAGAAAGTATTATAGTGGCTATAGCTTTTCAATTCAGCTCATGCAAGTGGGCACTAAATACTGAAAGGTAACTTCTGGATGAGACAGGAACTTTGACTTCTTGCTACGTTGATTTAAACGAAGTAGAGTACAGATGAGATACTATAAATCCTCTGGTCTTTGTCTGCAGCTCACTACACTGTTACCTAGGAAATATCACTGCCATATAATGATGCTACAAAAGTCACTAATGTATTACCATATCCAACCAGCAGACCTTTCTAGAATTTAATCATTGTTAATGAATTAGCAATAGTTGGAGAGTATTTATATGCTTTTGCACAAAAAAAGTAAAGTTTCATTATACCAATGGGTATATGTGCCTCTGACAAGCTTTTTGGCAGCTATTATCTTTGAAAAAAAAGTCATAAGCGGCCAGCTTATTAAATTTTGTAAATCATAAGGCTTGTCTGCAAATGCAGAGCACTACAGCAGTTTTAGCTGTTGGCCTAGAGATTCTGCTGTTAAAACCAATAAATGGGTCCAGAGTTTAAGTTCCATTGTAAATTATACATAGAAGAAACAGACAGAACCTTGCCTCATGTTTCCTGTGTTTAAACAATAGAGTGGCTGCACTGCCGCGTCCAGAAAGATGAATTGACAGCACACTTTTGTTTCTGGGCTTCAAATTTTAAAATTATACATCAAGTTCCTAAATCCTGATCACTCTCAGCAAGGGAAGGTTACTGAGTTCTTGACTAAGTAAGAACATAAAACCGGCCATACTGGGTCAGACCAATGGTCTGTCTAGCCCAGCATTCTGTCTTCTGACAGTGGCAAATGTACGATGCTTCAAAGGGAAAGAACAGAACAGGGCAATCAGCAAGTGATCCATCCCCTGTCATCCACTTCCAGCATCTAGCAGTCAGAGGCTTAGAGACACGAGGTTGCACTCCTGACCATCTTAGCTAATAGCCATTGATAGACCTATCCTATCCATAAACTTATCTAGTTCTATTTTGAATCCAGTTATAATTTTGGCCTTCACAACATCCCATGGTAATGAGTTCCACAGGTTGACCGTGCATTTTGTGAAGATGTACTTCCTTTTGTTTGTGGTAAACCTGCTGCCTATTAATGTCATTGAGTGACCCCGGTTCTTGTATTATATGAAGGGGTACATAACACTTCCTTATTCACTTTCTCTACACCAGTCATGATTTTATAGACCTCTATCATATTCCCCCATAGTCACCTCTTTTCCAAGCTGAATAGTCCCAGACTTTTTAATCTCTCCTCATATGGAAGCTGTTCCATATCCCTAATCATTTTTCTTGCCCTTCTCTGTACCTTTTCCATTTCTAATATATCTTTTTTGAGATGGGGTGACCAGAGCTGCAACAGTATTGAAGGTGTGGTCATATCATGGCAATATATAGCGGCATTATGATATTTTGTGTTTAGCTATCCCTTTCCTAATGGTTCCTAACATTCTGTTAGCTTTTTTGACAGCTGTTGCACATTGAGCAGATGTTTTCAGAGAATGCTCCAGGATGACCCCAAGATCTCTTTCTTAAGTGGTAACAGATCATTTAGATCACATAATTTTGTATTTAGAGTTGTGATTATATTTTCCAATGTGCATTACTTTGCATTTATCAACACTGAATTTCATCTGCCATTTTGTTGCCCAGTCACCCAGTACTGTGAGATCCCTTTGTAACTCTTTGCAGTCTGTTTTGGACTTAACTATCTTGAGTAATTTTGTATCATCTGCAAACTTTGCCACCTCACTGTTTACTGCTTTTCCCAGATAATTTATGAATATGTTGAACAACACTGGTCCCAGTACAGAACCCTAGGGAACACCGCTATTTACCTCTCTCGGTTCTGAAAACGGGCCGTTTTTTCTACTCTTTCTTTCCCGTCTTTTAACCAGCTACTGATCCATGAAATGACCTTACCTCTTATCCCATGACCGCTTATTTTGCTAAGAGTCTTTGGTGAGGGACTTTGTCAAAGGCTTTCAAAAAGTCCAAGTACACTATATCCGCTGGATCACCCTTGTACACATGTTCGTTGACCCCCTCAAAGAATTCTAGTAGATGGATGAGGCACGATTTCCCTTCGTAAATGCCATGTTGATTCTTCCCCAACAAA